AAGTATTTTGTTTTGATTGATTTATGTTTATGAAATTATTATGTCAACCTTAGTTTAATTAATTTCGAGAATTTCAAAGAAAGTTGTCATCAAAAACTTTTAATTATTTCATAATTCAGTGACATTTTTTGTGATAAGTTTTCAGGCTTTTAAGACGTAAAAGTTTGATAAATAAGAAGTTAAGTTAGTTGAAAAGCTACAATTTGTGTGTTTTTGAATGTTTATAGCAACTAGGCAACAACTTCGTAAACAGCCTATGTTCATTTTTATGGATATAGTCAAATTTTAATAGAATTCATTCCTAGAATTTGAAATTTGCATCATAAATTCTTAAAATATAAACAAAGCGGAATGTTTTCGGAAGTTCTTCCAGGAATGTTTTGAAAAAGCAATTTTAGGCAACTTAATGAAAATATTTACTGCTTTCATGTTATTTGCAATTCAAATCCACTTAAAAATTTCAAGAAAACTCAAACAAATTTTTAAAGCATAAGAACAAGTCCTCACGTTCATTTTCCTATATTCCCAACATGTGACACACACATAGCAATGAGACAATGAATTGAAGATAATTAAAATCCATTATTATTATTACAGCATCAAAAAATAAGACTTCACAGCTAACATGTGAACATTTCTTTCACATAAAAAGTAATCATCACGAAAATGATGATGATGATGAAGCTAATTAAAGTCATTGTACATCAATAAAGAGATGAAAATTGAAAATGTGCAGTGCAACAAAGCAACTTTCTCACTTGAGTCTTTTCCGATACATAAAGTCATTATTTCTCTTGGGACTGTTTACTTATGACGTTTTGTAATTTCAAAGGTGGATCTAGGGATTATATAAAGGATCGTTGTGATCTATAGCTCTATACTATAGCTCAGTGCTGTCCAAACCTTTTTCAGCCACTGCACACACTTTTACTTTAGATATTTTTAAACGGCACACCTAACGTTATCCTACGGTACACCAGTGTGCCACGGCACACAGTTTGGACAACACTGTTATAGCTCTATAGCTCTATACTAGTGTGCAGAACTGATATTAATATGACATTAGTTGAATCTCTATCCCATTCAGTTTACAGTCTCGAATAGATCGTACAGACCTCCTATCTACTTCTGGCAATATCCATTTTTTATAAAGTAAGGTTTGATCAATCACTTGTCTTTATACTAAGACTGAATTTATTATTGGCTCCAATTAACTCATTAGATGTGATCTTTGCATGGAGCTTGCATAAAAGTTCCAAGGAGCTATACTTTTAGCAAGATTCGAACCCATGACAGCAATCGGTTTCAACATAATTTAGAAGCGAATTACTCAACAACTCCCTCCAAGTCATCATAGCCCAATGTATCGACTATTGAGTCTGACAATTTTAATATTAATTTCAAAATGACATCATTTATGACCAATCCCCAAATGTGATGAAAGGGGAAAAGATTTAACATCATAATAAAAGAAAAGCGAAGAAGAAAGAAAATCTCTTGGGACTGACTGTCACAGTAGAACATTTTTCTTTAATGTCTCAAAAGAGACCAGCTTTTTAAGTGACTGTAGATCATTAAACATTCAATTAACACTTCATAATAAATACGAGCAAGAGAAAGTCACAAGAGGAAAAGACGAAAAAAAATATATTGTATCTATGACAGTTTAGCGATAACTACTGTTGCTGCTGTTTATTTTAATTGCACTTGACTCTTCTCATTCGCACTTTGCACAAAATGAAAAATAACATAAAACAGCACTCAGACACTTCACTTTCAAAGGCATTTAAAAATATATAGTCACACAGAAGCTGACGCGAGAGAAGGAATAAAAAATAAAAATTCACATATGAAGTGCACAGCACAAAACATAAGCTGCAATTGAAAACACTATAGGGCAATGAAAAACAGTAGACGAAAAAAAAAGTTTACAGCATATGATATGCGAGAGGGGGAGAGAATATTTAATGATCATACATGATGACTAAAATGACTTTTATGTTAGAAGTATGAGTATAATTTTTCTGATTGACTGATTGACTGACGAGCATGATGAGCAGTTTGTTTGAATATTTACCAAATTGTGTATAGGCATTTGTCAAATATAGAGAATTTGTCAGAATTGTGTAACTTGTGGCAATTGATTATTTAACAAAGAGTGATTTGGCGAAGGATTTAGCTTTTGTGGAATGGACTTTTGAACTTTTTAGCATTTTTTTAGGATTCATGAGATTCAAATTAGCATTTTTATTTCATATAAGCAAATATGGAGAGGGATCTGAAGCTACAAAATAAGAATTGAAGTCCTGACTCTCTCCTGGAGGCACAAAACCCCCTTCTATCTATGCGCCATATCCCCATAACACCAGTTTTCTATCCAACTAGTTTTTTGCATCCATTGATTTTGATGACGCCTCTAAAAAACTTTTCTCTCCACTTAGCCTCGCTATAAATTCTGTTATTCATCTATAACACATTCGACTCTATCTAAATGTACCCCGAAATAAACGATTTTTGACTGTTGATGAATTTGAAAATGCTATTAAATGCAAATGGAAATAATGTTTTGATAGCGTGGGAAACAAAAAGTAAATTGAAATACAGGAGAGTTGATTATTTGAATATTTCAATGGTAATTGAATTGTAATAAGCTGTTGATTGTTGAATGAAAAATGATATGCTAATAATTTAGATGGCAATGAAAGAAGTAGAGTCGAATTTTAATGGTGTAAAATTAATGGAATTGGAAATGAGTTTGACTATTTGTATTTTTGTGGATGAAAAGGCTGAAATGAGTTTTAGAGTTGTTTGATGAAATTGACGAATGGTGAAATTGGATGTTCTGGAGCATTTTATTAAAAGTATGAACTGAGGTACAAGAGCTCTGCTTGTACCACATACCTTAATTTTTGTCCATTTACCAGAGGTTCATCAAACCGAAAATACCCAATCCAATCATCCCATAAATACATTTTTCTTAATTTTCTCAAAACTAATTTTCTTTCCTCAATCAAATTGTCAAACGATTCTTTCAATTTTCTATATTAACTACACATTGATCCCCCAATCATTGACATATCGTGCTGTGAGTTTTACTTTTAAGTTTATACAATACAGGAAATGAAATCAACTTAATGGGAGGATGTTTCTGTTGAAGGCAAAAGGAATTGTTTTTCAAAACGTAGAAAAAAGAAGCAGGGATGAAGCTAGGAGAAATAATATCTTTAATTGACGCAAGAGCTACGTCCCAGTTGAAATAGCAAGCAACAAAAACTTTTCTTTTAAACTGACGCTGAAATACAGAACAAAAAGACGTGACAAAGGGCAAGCGTAACACTTTTTATTCTATTTATTTTAGAAAGTCACATACAGAACTTTGTCATTGTTGTCTTTACAATAAATTCTCTCCCTCCTTCTCGATACGTACAGTCATTGTTTTGTGAAAAAGGAAAAAGTTTCCACCCCGACAAAAAAAAAATTTCTTCTCATCTTCACCATTATCACAATATATATTGGACTAGTAAGTAAGAGAGAAAACCGAAACCAGAAATAAGATATGCTTTACTCTATTGTCATTGCCTACCTTTTGCTCGTTTCTCCTACTTTTTATTACAGCTCGAGGCTAAAAAGCAGAAAAAAGTTTTTTTTGTGTCCTCCATTCTTTGTTTAGGCTATGAAAAGCTGTAATTAAGTTATTTGAAGCTTTTACACACTTCATTGCAGAGTCAATGCTGGCCTTTTTTTGTTATTGTTGTTGTGTGAGCTGCTGTGTGGCCGTAGGAGATTAAAAGCCTTTAAACTTTTCTTCTTATATTACATCACCTCGTCCTCGTGTTGTCACTTTTTGTTCTTTTTTTGAGTCTTCTTGAGATTTTAAGGATTTGGGGTTGTTGGACCACTTTTGATTTGATTTTAGGATGAAAAAAGCATTAATGTGATTAAAATAATTTAAATTGAAAACTACGAAGAATTGTGAAGCTTCAAATTACATTAATTCAGTACTGTCCAACCTATGAGAGAAAACTATTCAGAAAATTCCACAAACTGAATGCCGTTTGCGGTTTTGGACATGGCTTACCATCAATGTGTGCCGTGGTACCAAAAAGGTTGGACAGGACTGCATTAAGTAATTACAAGAGCTACAAGTCGACTTCATACAAAATTTCATCGACTTCGAGCTTCGGTAATTACATTAAGGTGTTCTAGTTCTTGATATTTTCATTGCATTGGCTCTTTGTTGTATTATTTGAAATATAATCCTTATTAATTAACATTATGAATGCTTCCTTGATTGGCAATATGATATTTCTTGTAGTTCCTCTTGTCGTTGCTAATTTAATTTATTGATTAATAAATTTTTAATTTTGTAAAACCTGTGTTTTTGCACAGAAATACTAGAAAATGATCCTTTATCTGTCTGAGAGAGAATTTTCTGGATTGACAGGGGATTTTGTAGATTTTATACACCCCCCTCCCCTACTACAAAATGTCTCCTTCCCATCTTTGAGTTACAACCGCTGATAATGTCCTTCATCACCATAAAACATCATCATGTGCTTGCAAATGATAGCATCTCATTAAATTCTATCACAATAAAGTTACTTTATCATTAAAAAGTTCGTAATTATGTAGGATTCAAATCGACAAGCAACAGAAAAAACCTTCATTTAGTGGAATTGAAAATTTCCATTTAAATTATAGAATTTAATTAAGTTTTATAAAAAAATTTATTTTTCTTTCAGAATGTAAATCACGATTTAAAAAGTGGAAGTCCATAGTAAATATTCCGAAAGTTAAAATGCACATATTTTAATTAAAGTGACGTTCAGATTCATGGATGTCCATTTTTGAATAAATAAATAATGATCAGTCATTCTATAGTAGTGGACAATAGACTTCAAAGTATTTACTTTTCCTCTTCGTAGTTAAAAAAAAATACTTTTTTTATCTTCCATTTTTAATTTGAAACATTCAGTCGAATATCAACTGCTGCACATAATTTTTTGCACATTTATTGCTGTAGCATATAAAAAAATATTTAAAACAAAATAAAATAAATTTTATTTGTGTGTGAGTGTGAAAACTTCGAATAATAAAATATGGATTATAATTGCATACGACTGCTGCATTTGCAACATCATCTTCAGCACAAATCTCCACATTTTCGAATATCATCGCTCGTTTTACTGTTCATCGTCATACCGACATTGGCTGCTGATGATTTTACCCGGATAGATCCATTAGGTAAGCAAATATTATCATGATATGCATGAACATTTTCATAAAGTAGTTTAAGCTCTATATCTACATCTTTTTTTTCTACCCCACACACATATATCGACTCTAAGGGCAGAATTTCTTTATTGTCACTATCTGCTTACTCTATCTTTTTTGCCATTTTTCCCTCGTTCTCCCACACATTTTCATTCAATATATTATGTTGCAATGAACATTGGTGATGGCATTTTAATTTGGGCACGTTGAACATTTCATTTGACACAAACACACTCTGTGACTCGTGGGAGAATTGTGTTATTTTGGCGAACTTTGAAGCAAGACACATTGGTCAATATGTGGATGGGCTTAAAGCTGAAATTTAGATTTTTAAGGAAGTTGTAAAATTTACTGCGAGTTTCATGACCAATTTGGTGTCTGTGACTGATTGGATGGCATCTAGTGAGATTAGAACCCACACTCAAACCAAAATTTCTCAACAACACAGCCACAAGATGTTTTTGAAAGCACTGACAGATTCACCTACATATCGCTCGATATTCATATCCAACAATTGTAAATTTCAAGAACCAACAGCGTTCCAGTCAAAATCTCACATTGTCCACCGACTCAACAGCATCAGCAGATTCCATTACTTGAAGCAGTTGCCTTAACTGTCAATTTAAATATGCATTTCATCGTCACAAGTACTCTATTGCTTGACATCAAATTAAAAATGACGAGTCCCTCGATGAAAGCAAATGCATCATGCAACTCCTATCTATTGTAGCATGTAATGTCGATGGCTCATAAAAGTTATGTCCATTAGTTGCATTTTTTCAATCGTCCGAACAGAATCAAGTTTGGCCTAATAAAGTTTTTGGAATAAAGCCAGTCAGCAGCATGTGTAATGTGAATGGGCACATTGACACAAATTTCATATGTACGAGAACGGGGATAGACTGCAAAGTGGTGTAAATGGATAAAAAGTCATTTCTGACCAGTGTGTTTTATAGTCGACATTCACGAATTTTCATTTTCAAATGGTCCTTGACCTGCTGCTGCTGCTGTATATTATAAATCTTTTTGTTTTTTCATTGTTTGTTTGTTGATTTTCATTTTTCACAGAGAAATAGAGTGGATGAAAAATTGAGGTTCTTCTTTTGTTTATAGCTGGCATGTCTTTGAGGTGGAAAATGGAATAAAAAACTATGTAACAGCTTGAAGCATTTAAATGGAGGTTAAATTGATAGCACGAATGTGCAGAGAAACATTTCTCGTACACTTTTATGTCAATTTTCAATGCTAGCTTTCAAGAATTTCAAAGAGCGTTCTACATGTGTCAAAATTATGGCTTTATTTTGGAAGCTCTTTCTGTTATTTTATGAAATTTTATATTTATAAATTCACGAGCTGCAAGCGGAACGTTTCGACATTATAAGTGATTTTCGAGGAAGTTTTTGAACATATTGGTTATAAAATTATATTCTTATAATCAGGCAGAGAATCAACTGTTTCAAAATTAAGGACAATCTCACTCCTCCAACACCCCATTGCAATGTCTATGCTACAAAATTCACCGTTAAAATAAACTCTTGACTCTTAAGTCTAGCAATAATTTTAAACTTAATTATTTGAAAGAGTTTGCATTGTTCCTACACAATGCAATGAGCTGGAGGTACTGTGATTACGATTCATGATACAACACTGTAACTTCAGCTCTTTTCAGAATTTTTTTAAAATTCTTTTGTTTTTACATTTTTCACAAAACAAAATCCACCAAAAATAAAGTCAAATAAACTTTTAATATTCACCTGAAAAGTTCTCGTTCTTTGTTACATCACCTCATATCCTACACACAAAAAATTTCCTTCCTAGAATCGAAATATGCGTAAAATTGAACAGAATAACATGAATTACCCTCAAGCACTTCAATCTGTTTCATAAACATTGGTTTCTCTTGACTTTACTACTCCATCCATCTCATCAATTTGTATCAAAATTGCTGATAAATTGAGCTCAAAAAAAGTTGTTGTCAATTATGATGAGAATATTGATACAAAATGAAATATTTTCTACCATTGTTAAGCAAACAGCAGAGGAGCTAGAGGGGGGGAGGGGTGTAAATGATGTCAATCATAGAATTGAAATTCATTGTCTTATAAGCTCTTTTTGGTTTCATGACTTTCATAAGACAAACTGGCTTGATTGAAAACGCGAATGGCACAAGTCGGTTATTCAAATAAAAATCCGGTGTCCAGCCGGCATGAATCTCTTTGATTTAAATTTAGCATCATGCCAGAGTCACATTAGCTTAGTGCCGAATTTTTGATCGATTAACCGATTTATGCCATTCGGGAAAAGTCAAGAATTCAACGCTTATCCCATCCCATACCAGGCCAGATGAACATCACTCACGCACAACCCCCAAAGGGAAATTGAGGATGAAAAATATTGAAAAACGATATTTAAATATTTTATTATTTATTTTATTGAATTGCTCCGATATCATCATCATTCAAAACAGCTCCAAACAAAAAAAAAATATGCAGACACACAATGCGAGTTTATTGAAAACATGGCACAGTGAGAGAGTTCATAAAGTGACAATGATAGCATACAATAAAATGCGTATGTGAGCTGATATGAAAGTTGAATATTGATGCGACAATCGCTTTACAAGCATTTCCTATACACGGCCTCCTTTTTTTGTGCTTGAATAAAGAGGTAAATATTCATTATTATGGCGTTCTCATAAAATTTATGCCTGTATATGCTCACAAATTTGATCTTCAATTTAAAGTCGTGCTCGAATAAGCCATGGCTTATCATAAATTATGTCATAACACCACTGAGGTTAAGGACACTAAAGTGAGACTAGATGTTCATAAAAGTTTTTAATATCCATTTAATTCCACTTTTTTTCCGAGTGAGAGAGGATGAGGATTTAAATGAATATGCTCATGTATATAAATTATCACCAGAGAGAATTTTTTTTTGTATTTTTCGAAAAAAAAAGTTTTTCATACAAAATATGTTTTGAGTTTTATGTGTGAAACATTTATTCTTCTGCTATTTTATGATTTAAAGCCGAACAAGTTGAAAATTTTTAGCGCTTGGCTCATGTTTGTATTTTTTTAAGTGGTTTGTGTATTAAAGTTTTGAAAATAATGATGGCTTTTGGTGTCATGTGGTGTTTTGCGACAGTCGGAGGGATTTTGTTTTGTTTATTATTAAACGATGAGAACTTCATATTTAATAGCAAATTTAAATGAGATTTTTAAATAATTTTTTGAATTTAAAATGTTAATAAATTGGTGGTTGAACAGAGTAGCTAGGTACGGAAATATTATACGGCTTCTATTCATACTGATCTCCAGGGGTGTCAAGGGGTAGCCAGGGGTGGGTTTCTAGATCTATACTTGCTTGAGTCTAGACCTATGATGTAGGTTAGAGATGAGGATAGGTGTAAATTAGAATTATGTTAGGGATAAGGGAAGATGTAGCTTTGCTCCCCTTTCTAAATGGGGATTTTTCGGTTTGTCCTTATCCATTCCTCTTTAATGACCGTCTAAATCAGTGTTGTCCAAACTTTTTTGTGCCATGGCACACCTAAGGGGTAAGCCATTTCCAAAGTTGCACACAGCATGTGGCTCGCGTCATTTACAAAAAATTTTTTAAGGCACACCAGTGTGCTTCAGCACACCGTTTAGACAACACTGTTCTAAATTGTTCCATACTGGTCATTTCAGCTCAACCTAGCTAAAACTCAATAAAATAAATTCAAGGAACCTTGTAAAATCCCAGCTTCAACCTGACATTCAGCCACAATTAAACACAAACCCAACTCTTCATTCTTGCCTCATTTCTAGAAACCAGCTACCAAGCTTATTCCATTTTAACTCACTTGAGACGAAAAAAATCTCCGACTACAGCTAGCAGAAAAAGAAAGTTTTCATAAAACAAATTAAGATAAAGTTGTTTATTGTAATTACAAAAATTATATACACAACACTAGCACAATGACGCGGAGATTGCCATTGAGAATACATAAGAGAAAATAATGGAGTGACTAGAGAGAATTTTAAAGTAGTTTAAATAGCTTTTAAACAAAGAATGAAGAACAAAAAGCTTGAAAAAATTATTTGAATCTTCACTTCTGATATTTTTTTAATGACATTATCAGATTAAATGTCCACTCAAGAGTTATGTATGGAAATCATTAAATTACTTTGGCAACAAATCTAGATAAAAAAGAAAAGTCAGAAAAAGGTCGAAAGATTGCAGTTCAAGCATCATTATGCTGATAATAAAGGAACATTTCTATTGAATCACCTTAATCTTCTTAACATCCATTCATTTTGTTCTTTTCGTTTCTCATATTTATGAATCTTAATTTACTTACTCGAAAAGCCCATTTGATATCCCTTCCTATTTATCCTTTACCATGTCTTCTTTCCCCATTCCGATTTAAAATCCTAAGGAAGATGAAGACAAGAAATACAGCATTTCTGTGCCATTTTCGACTACAGCCAGAAATAAATCTTGTTTCATTTATGAACTACTAAAAATGCTGTACTTTGTGTACGAATGGAAGATAGAGCTGTTTCTTTCTAATCCTTTCTTTCCTCCCTTATGTTCTTTGCATCTTAGCAACAAATTTTCTCGTCTACCATTTTCTTTTGGAATAGAATATTTTTCTTATGTTTGTCAGGGTTGGGTGCATGTTGTGGGGTTTTATGTGAACTTTATAGTCACAGTTATTAACTATCAGAGTAGGTATAGCAAAAGCAGTATAGCTCAGAGTAGCTCTATGAACAGCTTGAATTAATAGAAATTTAAAAAGTTATTATAAGCCAGTGATGATCAACCCGTGTGCCGTGAAACATTGGTGTATCATGAATTGTTTTTATATCTTATGAAGCATTTGCTGTTTGAGGTTTTGGTCATGGCTTAGCCACAAAAAAAGGTTGGACATCACTCCTTTAAGCTATAGAAACTATTTATCCTGTAAGATTCATGTTAAGTTG